ACAAGAGAAGGCTGAGGGGGGATCTTGTGGCCTGTTACAAACTGGTCAGGGGGGATCAGAAGGCACTGGGGGAGTCACTGTTCCCCTGAGCACAGCCAGGAGTGACCAGGAATGACGGTCACAAGCTGGCAGAGGATAGGTTTAGGTTAGACATCAGGAGGCGCTATTTCACGGTCAGGGCGGCTAGGGTCTGGAACCAACTTCCAAGAGAGGTGGTGCAGGCTCCTACCCTGGGGGTTTTTAAGAGGAGGTTAGATGAACACCTTGCTGGGGTCGTTTGACCCCAGTACTCTTTCCTGCCATGGCACGGGATCGGACTAGATGATCTGCTAAGGTCCCTTCCGACCCTAGAAACTATGAAACTAACTATGAAACTATGAAACTCCATTTTAAGTAATTAAAGATTAATACAATTAAAGATTAACTATATTCCCAGAAGCTTGGACAGTTCATGTTGGAACACTCAGGATAAAATGTCTCATTAATGAGATATACTGGAGGAAGACTAGTTTTCCTTGAGATTTCCAGACCCCACTTAACGCCAAAAGCCCTGATATATGCCAGCCATCTGAAAATATTTAAAATCCCCACATCTCTCCCAACTATGTAGCTGGTCCAATAAAAAAAGATTTCACCCCCCCAAAAAATCTTCTCACATATCCTGGACCACCATGGCTAAAACAACACTCCAGCCCTGTAATGATATTTATACATGCTTAATTTTGTTTCCTCTCTGGCCTTATAACACATGGTTGAAAAAAAGTGGAGCACAAATCCGTCACCCTCAACAAAAAGGATCACTTTGTCACTGCATACACAGAGGTTGTTGTAAGGTTGCTTATAAATCTTGGCATGCTGGTGTTTTGAAAGTTACTTTGCAGGGGAAGGGACAGGGAATTGAAGCATTTATTTTTTAAGAAAAACACAAAATTCCAGGAATTTGCCAAAATAAAAAAACAAATGTTATAGTATCCCAGTATCAATGGCAACCCTTTGAAATCAAATGCGTACACAAAACTATCTTGAATAGCAATACCGTCAAAATAATTGTCTTCACAGACTATATACTATGCAGTAGTTTAGTTTGGCTTATAAATTAATAGACATCTCATAATCATTTAATTCTGACATTAATTTCAGTGCATCTCCTGCTTTGCACTGTGTCAGTCAATTTGACAGTACGTACCTAGAGACCCAGCAGGTATAGTCCAGATCAAGAACTCTCTAGTCACGCACTGCAGAAAAGCTAAATCCTTGTACTCAAGTACTTTGTACTCCCTTGGCTTTTTAAGAACTGCCACCTCTTGTGTGCATGCATGTGTTTCCCTAGGAGAACACTGCTGGAACTATTGATTTTTGGTAATGTAGCTGTACATTCTGAAAGTAAACATGTTACAAGATTTAAAGGGTGACCACAGTCATTTTTCCAGTTTTCATTTCAAGCCTTCTACTTTTACTGATACTTCCTCACTCCCTGTGGCTCCCAGTGATAGCAGCCATTGGAGGCCGCTAATATGGATTGCCCTAAGGCGCTCAAATTCAATTAGGAAAAAGGCCTTTCAGCACCTGGAATGGCATCAGTCTCCAGCAATGGGGAAAGCTGATATTTTGATGCACAAATGGACAATGTATTTGGGACCCTCAGCTCTTACTGAGAGTAGGGTGGCCATCATAGAAGTCAGTCCGGTTGTCCTCTGTCCTCTACTGATACGAAACTGGATGCCTTTATGTCCTCTATTTTTCTCTTGAAATAGAGGACATAAAGGCATCCAGTTTCGTATCAGTAGAGGACAGAAGACAAAGTAGCAGAAAACCAGAATGTTCTCCATGATGGACACCCTAGCTCTCAGCCCCTCCCTCAACCCCAACCACTCCTTCCGTTTATCTTGAGAAGAGCCAAAACAGAGCTGGAAAAGGAACTCCTCACTGATCCCTTACTGATCCTTGTATTAGAGGATGAGATGCTGCACAGAAAGCAAGATGCTGTAATACACTTCTGCATTCTATACCGTGGACCAGAAAAAAAGCTGCAGTAAAGGCTGCTCTGTTCCTTGGGAAGTGTGACATCCATCAAACATATCCAATCCTTTCTCTTTTCCCTCTTGCTTAGGTTTTC